AAACTCTGTTTACATTCTTCACTAATTAAGTACCCACTTAATTAGCCTAAGTTTTTTTGTCTTATTAGTTCTTCACCAATTTATAGTTTATTCATCTAAAATGTGTAAAAGCTGCTTGCTTTGGACATTTCCTTTAGTCCCATATCTATGAGATCTCTGTATGTATGAATTAAATGTATTTTTTTTCCTCCTGTTAATCTGTTTTAATTATTAGACCAGCCAAAGGACTTAGAAGGGTAGTTTTTTTTATTGTTATCTAAAGATGATACTTAGGTGGTGGCTTGGGCCATCTTGGGGATATATATACACAGTTACTGTATGTAAAACAATGCTTTAATATTTTTCGTGTTCTGTGAGACAGGGACTTGGGCAGGACGCACCTGGGTATTCTTTTGTTCCCTGTAAATTTTTAACTCAACTAGGTTGGGCTCAAGGGTCCAAATAATAATTATTTTATATGTATATATTCAATTATATGTATTTTAAAACAATGAAAAGATAAGCCAGTTTTAGAAATAGATAGTTATAGGAGGGAGAAAAAGGACGTGGTAGAGAGAACAGGAATAGAAGATTTTTTTTAGAAAGAGAGGAAGGGAAAAGGGGGGGAGAGAGAGAGAGAAAGAAACATCGATGAAAGAGAGAAACTGATCGGTTGCCTCCTGCTTGCACAATCAAACCCACAACATGGGTATGTGCCCTCACTTGGATTTGAACCAGAGACCTTTGGGTGTACTGGATGGTGCTCAACCAACTGAGCCACAGCAACCAGGAGCCAAACAAACAAACCAAACAAAAAAAAAAAACTGTAAGGAAAAGTTTTTTTAAACAGGGCAATCAGTTCAATGTGAACATTTAAGTGATGACACTGATGAGCTATTATCAATTTGTTTGCATGTGATAGTGATGGTGGGTGGGTATGTTAAAAAAGGGAGTCCTTATTTCAGAAGATACATACTGAAATATTTATACAGAAAATTATATGATGTTCAGGATTTACTTCAAAATTATCTCAGTGAGGGAAGAGTTGAGGGAATATAGGTAAAAAGGGACTTAACCATATATTAATTTTTAAAGCTAAGTGATGAATACATTAAGCTCACTAAACTACTCTGTCTACCTTTATATCATATTTGAAATTTCCTAAAATAAAAACATGTAAATATCAATATTCATTAAGGAGTTAGAGGAAACATAATTGGTCGAATCACAGAATTTTATAAGCTCCTCTTTTTACTACAATCTTTTCCCTAAATAATCAGATCAGCTTCGTGGTTAGCACAACTTATGCATCTTGGTATACTTTGGTCTTTGCACAGAGACCAGAATATAGTAGTCCCTTGATAAATGTTTATTGAATGGCAATAACCACTTCTAGCATTAATAGCACTCTAGTACTCTCGTCAAATTTGCCAGCGGTTCTCAACCTGTGGGTCGCCAACAATGAAAATACATCCTGCATATCAGTTATTTACATTACGATTCATAACAATAGCAAAATTACAGTTATGAAGTAGCAACGAAAATAATTTTATGGTTGGGGGTCACCACAGCATGAGGAACTGTATTAAAGGGTCGCGGCATTAGGAAGGTTGAGAACCACTGGTTAGCCACTTGTAAGTTTAGAAGGCTTCTGGTTTTGTTAGCAGTACACTTATATGCCACACAGCAAAATATGGTCAACGACAGACCATATATACAGCAGTGCCCTATAGATTTCTATGGAGCTGGAACATTCCCACTGCATCGTGAAGTCCTACAAAGCTGTGGCAAGGTCTTAGGGCAAAGAGGAATGTCATGGGCGAGAAATATCTGGGGCATTCACCTGGGCTCCAGTTTCTCATCCACCTGCTTCCTTTCTAAACCCAGGGTTAGAAATACCTGGGGGCATTCACCTGGATTCCTGTGGTTCTTACTAGGATTGCAAGACACCCTTTGGCAATAACCATTAGGAAATCTTGAAGAGAAAAAGGAGTTCCTTACTTACTAGTACACACGCTGGAGTGTACAGACACACTCAGCACATTGTAAGGTCTCAGGGAA